TTTCCCGTAAAAAGACGCCATTAAATTGTTTTACGGTGACGCCATTACCCGTTTCTTTAATTTGTTGTTTTGCCTTGGGTGGAGGTGCTTAAAATTGTTGATGTATTTGTTTATTGATGTTTTACAATGGAAAGTAGATCAAAATCGGTAATCTAGTAATTTATCATATATGATAGAAATTCACCATTCGTAAATAATATACCGCTTGCTCAAGCCAGATTACAGCAGTTGAAGCGCAAGTTGCTAAGTGACAATAACTGTTCAGAACTACTGTAAATGATTACATTTCGGATGGATATGCATCGGAAGTGGATCACAGGGTACCAGAAACAAAGCGAGTTTGATATCATCCGGAGATAAATGTTTTTGCTTGTTTGTTTCATTTTATGCCTTTTCCCAACAGTATTTCAGTCATATAGGCGGGTAGTTTCTTTACCATCGTTCTTGGAGAGTTACACCAATACTAGACTACCTTCCTCTGTGCAAAACTACCAAAGCATCTCACGGGGATCGAACCCACGCCAGAGAGGTTACTGGATTAGAAGTCATCGACTTTAACCCGTCGACCACGGAGGCGGTCTTAACAAGCCGGGAAAAGTACGTGTAGTGTTTGACTGTGCTACTATATACAAAGGAATGTCGCTCAACAGTTAACTTTTGCAAGGACCTGATTTAATGAACAGTCTAGTCGGTGTACACAGGAACGAATAGCATTTATTGCAGACATTGAAGCAATATTTTACCAAGTTCGTGTGATCGAGGAAGATCGTGATGCTTTAAGGTTTATTGTGTGGCCTAAAGGAGAATAGGACAAGACTCTTAAGCAATATCGCATGAATGTCCATTTATTTTGTGTTACATCTCCAAGTTGTGCTGCGTATGCACTTAAAAGAACAGCGAAAGATTTCTCGCATCTGTTTAAACTGAAAGTTGCGCTTACAGTTGAGAACGTTTTTTACGTTGATAACTGTCAAAAGTCTGTCCCATATGAGCAGGAAGCTATTGATTTGGCTTTGGGAGGATTTCGCTTAACAAAATTGCTCAGTAACAGTAGAAATGTTTAAAAGACAATACTGGAATCAGATCTTGCCAAATCGGTTGTCCCTTCTACCCCTAATGAAAAATGTAATGACAAAGCATTTGCTATATGGGAACGTATGATTCGATCAACACGTACAATTTTGAGATCGTTTGTCAAAGAGCAGCTTCAGACTCATGAACAACTTCTTTCTTTTGTAACAGAGATTGAAAAAAAAAACTTAATATTAGACCTAGTAATGTGCTACTTACCCTAGCAGGTGATGACCTAAAAGACCCCCAGCTTTAACTCCAAGCATGATTATATTACTCAAGTCCAATGCATGTATTCTACATGGCATTTTCAAAAAAGAAGATACATATATTATGCAAAGAGAAGGTGGAGACTGGCTCAGTATCTTGGTGACATATTATGAAAACGATGGATTCAGGAATATATACCTACACTTCAATCGCGACAAAAATGGCTGGGACACAAAGAGATATCCGTGAGGGCGATATTGTACTCGTGGCTCAGTAAAACATACCCAGGGGGCAGTGGCCGTAATGCAGGGTTGAATCTATAAATGTGGGTCGTGACGGGCATACACGAAGCTGTGTGGTCGAAACTAGTATGTCACGCTTCATAAGACCAGTAACTAAACTTTGCCAACTATGTTCTATTTAAAACATGAAGGTATACATTACAATATGCTATTGTTTGTATAAGATGAAATTGTAATGTTTTATGGTGGGGAGTGTTAGAATTATAATTCTTCATTCTAAATTTATTTCAACTATAATCACAGAATTTTAATAATTTATTTGCACAATAGTATTTACTATTAAATAGATTGTTTCACTCATTCAATTTAAGATAACTTCATTATTTCCGAAAAACGTAACATCGTATTTTGTTTCCTGTAAGAAGATGTCATTAATTTGTTTACGATGACGTCATTACCCGTTACTTTAATTTGTTGTTTTGCCTTGGGTGGAAGTGCTTAAAATTGTTGATGTATTTGTTTATTGATTTTTTCCAATGGAAACTAGATCAAAATCGGTAATCTAGTAATTTATCATATATGAATTTCAAAAGTAATGTCAATCTTTAATAAATGATGATGTACTTTGCGATATTTGCCGTGATTTTAAATCCAAACGAAATTATTTGCGGGAATATAAATTAGCATTATTATTCGCATAGATTTAAGTCTATAATTGTCAAGATAAGATTGTATATTTATGGTTTGTAATAACATTATTAGTTTATTTTAAATGGGTTGTAATCAGTATTTAGTTTGTTTTATTTGTTAATTTTAGAGAATCGCATTGTTGTATATAACACTGATGTATATTCCATGAATGAGAATAAAGTGTTGAAATCTGCGCATTCTGGACTTTTTTTATGGAAAGCATCTACAATAACCTTGCAGAAACTAAAAATTCCTCTATAAATAATACTTTAGCTTCACTGAGACATAACCTGAGACAGACAAACCTTGTCTTGGTATATCTAATCTTAAGTTCAGATTTCTCTCAATATATCTAATTGAAAGCCAAACTGAGAAAAATCTCAATATCAATTTCTGAGTTGAAAAAATCACAGATTTGAGCGAAGATTTTGACTTTAAGAACGTGAGTGAAAGCCAGGCCAGACCATGGAGAGGTGATCAGACCTTTCACTAGTGTTGAAAATGATTCCTGGCGGCATCTCACTTTGCAAATTAAAGGTAATGAAGCCCGTTAAAAATAAAATTAAGAACCTGTCTACAAAAAAAAACTTATGCCCATTGTCTGTTTCAAAATACTACTTTATCTTATCGCAACTTTTGACATCAAGGTGAACAAATCAATGAAAGAAAGTGTCTGAAATAACCATTAACGTTATATTTAATATTACAAACAGTGGGTTCTTGTTTCAACCTGATAACACTTCAGCTACAATATCACCAAGAATTATATTATATGTCCAAGTAAACCATGCAACAAAACTTTGCTGCTGCTTTAACTTTGGACACATCGCTTACTATTCCTCCGAAGACTAACGGAAATAGTCGATATGGTGTTATTGTTCGCAGATGCACTTTGACCAACCAGAAATTCTTTCTTTCCCGACATTTGAATAATTAAGCATATCTTCCCCAGCTGCAAAAATGCCCCTCGCATGCCTCTTAATTTTAAGATATATTGAATAAATGTTAAAACTTAATCAAAAGTACAAGGTTAAACGTTTATGTTTTTATTTAATTTCAAATATCGCCTGAAGGGATTTTAAAGGGCACAATTTGTCAAACAATTCATACATCTTCCTAAGGAATATCCAACAACAAGGTTTAGAGTTTATTTAGCACAATAAGTAACTTTGTTATTTTCAATTAAAATTAAGTTATTAAAATATGCTCTATGCTAATTTGTTGGTAAGATACTTTTGTGTATGAACTTGATTGAAATATTGGAAATTCTTATTGGATATGTCTAATTTGAATAACAGAATGAACAATATATTTGGCATGCTGCATTCCCTATTACTGGTCAAGTTCATTCTTTCTTGAACAAACACCCATCTATTTGATTTATGACATTATGAATTCATACTATGCTTACCTATAGTGTGTACTCAAAAGAATCGATTTGGTTTTTTATTATTATTATTATTATTATTATTATTATTATTATTATTATTATTATTATTACAATTTGTTTTATTTAATTTTAATATTTGATTATTATTATTTTTTTCTTATATAAAAAGCCTAAATATTTAATCACCTAAACAATTACTCATATTTTATCTCTTCGGCGCAATACCGTAGTGGTTGAGTGTTGGCTTCGTCAGTGTTGAGACTTTGGTTCGATTCCTGGAACAGGCATTTTTTATTTTTTTTATATTGTTTTGTTTTTAGATATTTTAGTTCCTCGTGAATTTCTCTTACACAATACTATAAGATAACATTTAGTTTTACATACATTCACCTGCCGCAGGTTAAGTTAGAAACAACACAGTTGTAATTAGAGTGATAAATGAGGAATGGAAGAAAAAATATATATAAATATACAAACGAGCCGAAATTGTCAAAAATGTAGCAAATTGAATTTAGAGTTTTAAATATAATTAAATTGACAATAATATAATCAATATTTTCAATGACTTAAAATCAAATACATTCAATTTTTATAAACAGTTACATGTTTAACTTTAAATTGTACAGAATATAAAACAAATAACAGGTTTATTAAAGAGAATGTGAAAATGTTTTCTGAAAGAAAAAAATATACATACACAAAAAATATTGAACAATTGCAGATTTGAACTCGAAAAAATAAATGATTTTCTAAACATGAACTCTTCTTAATCTGAACTCTCTAACCACTAGGCTACTCGGATTTACGTGTCCACACTCACTTTTATTTTCTATATAGCAATAAAAATGCAAAAAGTAATAACTGAATATCTTGCACAACCCATTATGTCATAATGGCGTAAACGTTATCGTGTTCGACTTATAAAAAGAATACCTTAATTCAATACATTAATTATATAATAAAATAATTCTTAATTTGATTTATTATTATTTTTCCACCATAATAGTTAAAAAATTATAATAATAATATTATCATATTTATTATTATTATTATTATTATTATTATTATTATTATCATCATTTGTGAGAGCAAGTGTAAATTTTAAACCAGTCAATCAAAAATTAAATTTTATTCTTAACTTCGTAAAATCAAAAGGTAACATTGTTATTCTCCCACATGTAGCAATAATATATACATTATATACGTATAATTAAACTTGCACTTTAAATATCCCCTTTAAGTTTAATTAATGATTTGATTTTAATTCATTACATCACATTTAAACGAATGCCGATTAACGATCAATCTCCCCTTTTTCTACTTTTCTTAATGCTTTCCATTTTAATTATTCTGCGTATCAGCATATTTTTTTATATCATTTGTCATTCTAAAGAAATAAAGCTTTATACGGAATTAAACAGTAATATAAATTAAGTGCAGATAAACCAAGGTTTCAGGAAAATGTAAAGCATTGCTCTTTGGATTAAGTACACGTTAATATAAATAACATATAAGAAACTTAAGGTACGTTACCTTCCTTTAAAATAACATTACAATTTTTATGTTATATTGTCTAACAGAATAATTATATATTGGTTAACATTTGATAAACAATTATTATAGTAAAATGATAATTTTTGAGCAATTGTTTTCTGTTTCAAGATCAAGAGTATAATAAAGCAAGCATCCACTATCACCGGAACACTGTAACAACAATGACTATTGTAATATTTAGGAACAGGAAATTGCTGAGTAGCAAGAGTGATCTTCTTGATCTGCATGAAATCTCTAATTTCATTGAATTTAAATTAGATGAGAAGTTTGATACCTTAATGGGATCCTTAAAGAACCTGTCATCTAATGTAGAGGTCAAAAAGTTACGTTGTACAGTCAGGTCTTTTTTTTCTAAACCACTTTAGAATCAATGACATGTGTGTGTGCCACCACTTGAAGTGAACAGCAACCAACATGTCATAGTTCTTGTTGTTTTAAGGACTACGTAAATACGTTTTTAAATTTTTTTACATGTATTGAAAATGTCTTATAAGCTGGTAGTTTGTGTCCATAGAATTATTTTTTTTGTTCCTTTATTTTCAGTTTTATATAATTGTGATTTAGAAATGTGTCATTCATGTGATATTTAGTCTGCGGATGATGATGATAACAGAGCTATTGAAAATTATCAATCTGTTAGTGTTATCCACAAGGCTGTATGTGACATAAATTTCAAATAGAAATATTATTTGTAAATTTGATGATGATGGAGTATCGTGTAAACATATTATTACATTTTTGTAGAGAATATAAAATAATCAAATAAGAAAGAAATAAAAAAGAAATGAAGGGAGTTCAATAATTGTAAACAAAAATTAAGGTCAGGAAAAAAGTGATCCTCAATCATACTAAAGTCATATTAATTAAGAAAGAAACAACGAATTACAATATTTTCAAGCGAGACTTTCTTTGTCACCTTTAAGGAATGAAATAATTTTGACTTTCTGAAATATGAGGGAAAATTGATAAAGTATAAAAAAAATAATTTGTCCTATGCCTTATTTCATGTCAAAGAATTTATATAATTATATTCTGCATTTGATTTGGATTTTCATATTGCATTCTCTTTGTTTGTCAAGTTATTGAATTTTCAAACAGTTATTTCCATGCCTGAAGTTCAGAGAATCATTTTTGTTACAATCAAATATCAGTTTATTCAGTCGGGTTAGCAAACTTCGGTGTATGATTCCAGTAATAAATATCAGCTTAGGAAATTCAATAATCCTACTTCTTTTCTTACCATTGTCTTTGATTTTGATTACAAAAATTGCCATTTTTCATATAATAATAGTTACAGAGAATTAAAAAATGGATTTTGAATGGTGTATATGTTTGGTTAAAATTTGGTACTATTTTTGCAATAACGTACTAATTAGATAATGGGTATACAAGGGGTGTTCAAATATGAATGCCAATATCTCGTTTTTGTCACGTTTTGCACGAACTATGTATATGTATCGAATAGATGGCTATGTAAGCTCTCAACTGATACTCATACGGTAACATTAACAATAACCGCTTCATTCTTGTTACATAGTCGATTAACACATTTATTGAAATATTTCGTGTTTGTGTGAACAATGTACTTTCTAGTTCATCTGTCACACAGTGGTTTAAAAAGTTTAAAAGTGGTGTGGATTTAGTAAAAGATGCACCTCATACATGCCGTCCGAAAAATGCAACTTCGCAGAAAAGATTTAAAAAGTAAAGGATTTGATTACTACTGATGCAAGATTTACAACTAGTAATATAGCTTAATGCGTTGGTATCCCTGTAGGACCGCTCATACAATCCTCAGACGTGATTTAAAAATGAGTAGGTTAAGTGCCAGAATGATACCCCATCTCTTTACAAATGAGCAAAACTTGCTCAGTTTATAAGCTTCAAACAATTGTTGAAACAGTTCCCTAAATACAGAAAGCGATTGGCGATGAGACGTGGGTTCACTTTTATGAACCCAAGCTGAAGATAAATAACAAAATATGGGCAACCAATGGAAGTCAAAGACCTTGGATAGCTAAATGCACCATGAGCATAAAAAAGGCCATGTATATAATTTTCTTTTCCAATAAAGGTCCTGCTATTCAAATTGACATACCAAAGGTTAAATCTGTACAAAGGCATGGTTCTTCATGAATTAAGGAAATATTAAAAAAAAAAACGTCGACAAGCAACTGGTTTCCTTGGTACTAGTTTTTTTTAATGCTTCGTCACACAAAGCGGCCATTGTACTACGAGAATATCTGAAACAGGAAAAGGTTGTTGCGCTTCCTCATTTATTCGTCAGATCTTGCCCTTTGTAACTCTTTCCTATATACAATGCTCTAAAACACATTGCTAACGCAATTTGAAAAAATTAAAGACTAAAACTTTGTATATCACATCGTGGTGAATACTTTGCAGTATTGAAATAACACTGTTTGTTAAGCACTTCGGAAAATTGACCTAGTTGCATTAATATTTAAACAATCCTCGTAGTCTTTTCTTTAAAAACAATTTGCTGGTTGTATAGATAACTCATTCATGCCCCAGTTAAGTTAATTATAAAATTACAAAACAGCTGCATTCTTTAGAATTTCAAATGGAATTTTCCTAGAGACATCAGACTTCGCAGAATTCGGGTTTTAAAAAAGTTGTTTATCTTATGGGACACATGTAGTTAATTTAAAAACTTAATCTTCATCTTGACTCTTTTTTTATTCTCGTTTCAGAATAATGATTTTCAAAGTTACATGTACTTTAGTTTTCTTTGTTGTAACCCTTGTCAAAAGTCATAAAAACGAAATCGGGCTAGAAGTTCCGACATCAGTCTATTATGGTAACTTCAAAGACAGGTTAAAGTTTCCACCAACACCAATGCCAAACTTTAATGTTATGCAAGTAAGTTGAGTTTTTTTCTGACTACAATATAACATATTTAATGTTCAATACTTTACATGCCAAAGGAAAGCTTCTTTCAAAATTTTTTATGTCACTAGTTTAGTAGAGAGCTCTGAATCATTTGGAACAAACTCATTAGTATCTTTGCGATTTCATTTTCTAAATATATTTTTTTAATTTAATTTATGAAATCAATTCAAACAGAATCACCGAATAGTTTGTTTGGCATATTGTAGCCTATGGTAAGTTAATTCAAAACTATTTGCAATATTTCAGGTAGATTGTATTTGTAATATTTAGAATATTTTTCCCTCTCTCATTTCAGTAGTCGGGTCGATGGTTTTATCAATTTCATAAAGCACCTTGTAGTTGGTCTATTTCTGAAGACTTCACAGATTACCACCAGGACCTTGCTGTACAAAACAATAGAGTTATACATTGTGAAACAATGAGGCAAGTCTATCTCTAATTGCTTAAAAACGTAAAACAGTGTGTGTTTGTGAAAGAACATACTTACTTAATCCCAAAATAGATATGTATTCATTGTTTACGGAACGTTTGGACTGTCTTATGTGTATAACGACTAATATACCTGGTTACATGTCATTGTGTTGAGTCCGAGAACAACATGTTGAGTTGAAATCCAAATATGCTGGCTGGAAATCCCGATGTGCTCAGTTATTGAAGTGTTATGATGTGCACTGATTACATTTCCTTCAGCCAAGTCAATATAGTGCCGTATGCATTAATTAGTCTTAATGTTCAGTTGTTAATACAAACAGGCATGTGGTAATACAATAAGATATGTTGTAGGTCTTTATTATGTTCAATTGTAATAATATGATGTTTTGTGCACTTCTCATTATGTTCAACCATGAAAATAGATTTAACCAGGTATATCACTCATTCTACACATAAGACAGTTCAGGCGTACCATACTTGTTCGTTAATGCTATCACTTACATACTTGTTCTGACAATTGAATATTATTTCAGTCGGCAAAAGCAATCATACATTACATATTGCTTTGATTTCGGCATATTGTTTAAGCAAAACAGCGACTTTTGTAAATTAATTATGTACAAGAGATCATTCTTTTCACTAAAATAGAGAAAATAAGAATCCCTAAAGTTTACATAAAATCTACACTTTAGAAACTTTGAACACGTCAAATTAAACAATTTACATATGTGTCTAGTTAAAACTACAATGTGTTATACTTAAATAGATTTAAGTTAAACATTAAATCACATTATTTAACTTTGTTACCTAGCCTTCAATGTCATCGAAACATTTTATGTACTTCATGGTTCAACTTCAACTCATATTGCTGTTTTTGCATCAGTAGTCTGAATTGTCCAATTTTAACACAATCCTACCATGCTGTTAAACTACAAAAAATTAAACTTGCGGGAATAAGGGATATCAGTTACGAGCTGACGTCATATTTGATGGAATAACTTTATTACTGCAGATATTAAATTAAGATGAAACAATTCCTCCTAAACATGCACTTCTTAATTATCTTTAAGAATATGAAAGGAAAACAGTTAAATGTGCAATCTTTATCTTATGCAGATACCAAGACATTTGCAATAGCGTAACATCCGTACTATCATTGACAGATAACCCTGGTATATTTACAGGAAAAGACCCAATTGGTAAGAACTTTTCCGGCTATAAACATTTAATATGCATGCATGCATGCGATGTCCGATATAAACGCATATCTATTCCACTTTTTTCTTTGAATGCATACAGACACACTGAGGAATTGACCTTTGTAGAACATAATAAATAATTAAAATAATTAAAGCAAATTGTTTAAATGTTTAAGCATGTTTAATAAATTTTATGAAACAATATTTAAAAAAAAAAACGTTTATATACAGATTTTTATAAACCGATCGGTTTGCTATGTGTTACGATAATACGTACGACGTATTTAGGAATATGATAAAACTGACTGATGGTTAAACACATTTCAAATTTTCTGAATATAACCCGTAACTTAATCAGTCATATAATCTTATTGATCGTAACGATGAAATAGTATTTGTGACTCATCAAAATGTATTCTAATTTAGAGGTGATAATTGGAGTGGTCAATGTTTTGTTGTTGCAACTGATTATAAAAGTTTCTCTATAACATGGGGTCATTGCTCAACCAAAAATGTGAAGATACAACACTATATGTTAAGACAAGACAGCCTAAACCAAGCAAAGGTGTTCTGCAACAGATTGAAAATGTTCTAAATAATATATGGGGTATCTCTGTTTACCACTTAACAAAAGTTAAGTAGGAAAAACGTAGGTATTTCTTTTAAAAGAGCTTTAGTTTATTTCATCTTTTATTATTCGTTTTCCAGCTCGAAATGATATCTTATAGTTGTTTCATTTATACCACCTCATATATATCTAAAACACATGGCATGGAGTGGATGGCAAAAACAAATTCCGTTTTTCTTTATTTTGTCACCTTATTCTTGTTCTATATTTCCATCCAATATTTGGTAAAAACGACATAATGAGGCAGGACAATTACGATATATATGCTAATATAAGAAATTTAAAATCATTATTAACAAGATCAACACTCTTTCGTTTGCTTAAAGATCTTTGAAATAATTTATACTCACCTCCATTTTTTTGTGTTGCCTCTACAGAGACAAAGCGACATATTAAGATGATTATTGCCAGAATAAGGGCCCTTAAGAAAGGTTTTTTTATTTTTAAATACGTCAGGACTATTCCCCTCATAACACTTATGTAATTTCAATAAAACTTTACATGATTGATCAATAGCTTCAGTATTTGCGCATGTTACACGGGTTTTCCGGTTGAATTATTTTTGGTTGAATAGAAACGCGTTTTTCTTTTGTTAATGGTTTTTGTTATCTCCTGCCTCAATTTAGCTGCAAAATGCAACTGGCTATCATCGGGAGACACATGTGTCCACCGATCGCTCTTGTTCAGAAATATTTCAATAAAATCAATAACAAATCAAGAAAAGATAACGACAGTTATGAAATATTCCTGTCCTGTATGGTTACTTTTATTCTGAATATTAACAACTAGTTTTCTCATTTGAATTAACCCTTAGGTTATAATAAATTTGTAATAATTATGTTGTGCTTTCTGTTCTTCTTCAGCTTGCCCGTCCGAGAGAAAGATAAGAAGTTAAAAAACGACAGACCTGATGACAATGTGATAAACAAAGTATAAACAAGACTAGTGTATACTGTATTCCTAGAAATTATTTCGCGTTTTTTAAGTTAGCGGTTGTTACATTACCGTCGCCGCGAACATGTGTAGCTACAAGCACTTAGATCAATAATGTGTCATTATGATATACTATGATGTAGCTTACATAGCTTTTACCTATGCTTAACTGATAAACATTTCAAGGTAAAATTTCCCTTTGCAAAACAGTCTTGCTGTTTGAAAGAACTTTGTATCCATTTTATTTACAAATTAAATAAAATCATTTAATACATGCATGTTATTTAAAGTTTGCAAACTTTGAATAAAGGTGATTTTACTCGCTAAAAAGGAAGGTTCTATTGTTTGTTACAAGTGCAATAGCAAATAATACCTACATATATATTGATAAGCATTTACTGTTAATTTTCACAGTTCAAATTTATTGAATACAAAAAAATGGATTTCTTTCAGAAAGTAAGGTCAATCAAGATTTCAAGATTTTCAAGATTTATTTTCAATATATGCAAAAGTCCCACAATAGCGGGAAACATAAGCAAATTGTGACATACATAAATGCATACATACATACATAGAATCATACATCACACGATTCTTTAACTCGACGTTATGATTTTAAAAAGAAATAAGTCATCCGACTGCATTTTTTTCATTTTTTTCTGGTATCAAAGAATTATGTTAGAATGGTGATACTACAATGTGTTTACATATTATATAGATTGTTTATAAATACAATTTAAAGATTTTGTAAATATCGTATGCCATAGTCTTAACTCCAAGGTATAGAGAGAACTTATGCAGAAATCTAATTGTATTATCAGTAAGATATTTATGATTTTTCCTAAACGACGTAATATTTGCGAAATTCGCGTCATTATGAATGAGCGAAAGTTTGTCTCCTCGAAGACGCCATCGTGGTGAAAAATGCGAAATATTGTTTCCGCGAACGTTTCTAGTATTTAGATTAGTGTGTTTATATTGAGTTTCTGTCTGCTTCTGTAAATATAACAGCTTTTTTTGGAGCGGGAAAGATGAATAAATAAAAACAATATCTTTCTTCTTATTCTAACACTTCCTTAAAATATGAACTCGAAGTTCAACAAGGAAGGATGGCATTCAATGAACGGCCCCCACCCACCCCAAGAAAAAGCAGCAACAAATGACCAACGACCAGGAGCCCAGCAGGCAACCAACGAAAGACAGAATAGGGCAAAAGGGCACCATGGGGAGCTACCATAAATCACCAAAAATAGGAAATTATTAAAACCTATGAAATATTAAATAATACATTTAATTTATTTCAAATTGAAGTTACTCTTTTTTTAAGTTCTGTACTTTTGTTTAATGTTATGAATTTTTAAAGTAGTTGTTTATAGTTATATCAAGGTCGACTTTATTTCTATTGATGTAGGGATTGCATCGCAAGAGTGGGGTAGGATACTGTAATGTTATAAGGTAATGTTCGCAACGGTTTATAGCTCGTGAATGGAGATATTGTTTAAGCGTTAAAGTATTTTTATTAATCATATGGTTAAAATATTAAATACAGACCTTAATAAAATAATAACTTGTATAGTCTAATAATATCGACTGTCTTAGTTCAACACTGACTTGAAGTCCATGGGACGATTTTAATAACATGCTAACGCTTAACATTGCGTAAGTTTAACGTCCGAACCTTTGACGTTAAGCCGTTTAACTTTACAATAGCATACGTAAAACTTTAGTAATTGTTATGTCAAGTTAGGCTTAAAATTTGCTGGATTGAAACTTATTGAAATAATGCTGACATTATAAAGTGACTCCTGAAAAGTACAATTTAATTGATAATGTGACTTACAGGCTTACTAGTAAAAACCGAATCCGAATATTGCAGTCATCCTATCAGCTGATGCTATTAAGCACATGTTTGTTACCATCTTCTAAAAAAATATATATATTCTGGTACCCCACACTCCTCCTACCAACACCCATTTAGTCGTGGTTGTTTTGCTTTATATTATTTTTACGAACTTTGATGCTAAATATAGATCCATTAAATTCTTTATGAATGACATAATGTTTACTGATTTCGTTTGTCAATCATTGATATGAAGTTAGTGAAAACGGAATGGGAAAGTATCTAATTGTTACTATATTTCGTGATAAAATGGTAACTTCGAAATTATTTTGTAACGGCTGTTTTTTTCCGTTAAATAAAATGATGTTGAACTTCTGTGTGCATTAAATTGTATGATTTGAATGTGTATAAAATGTCTGTTGAAGGTGTTTTTTATGGCAAATTTTCAGATATCAATCATTTCTTCACTAAATACTTTCTTACAATACTTAGTAATAGTTACACTAAAATGACGACTAAATTTTTATATCTTTTGATTGCATGTAGTTTGTTTACACGTAGCCACTGTTTTGTGTCATCTTCTAGCAAGATTTAGTATAAATCAAAAATAAAAAGTACGGGCTTTTCTCTACTTGATAGGCATAAAATAATAACAATAAACAAATATGTGGGTTACGTGAATAAGCTTAATTCTACATGATAAAGTGAGAAAAATATGACATTTTTTACTTGCGAACAACATTACTTTACCTCTCGTCTCAGTGAGGTTATCAAACAAATATCCTTTATATATTTTCAACATAAAACAACTTTGACACGGGGTTCTCTTGAGATTTACCACTTTCTCTATATAAAGAAATGTACATGAGAAACGCCTGTGTGCTGTATAAAATAGCTGTTTTTATGCTGATGGTACAGTCTGCACTAAAGAATATGAAATGCTTAGCGACACTCCTTGGTGTCCCACTCAATTGATGACCCTATGACATTCCAGTTTCTCTTTTAATTTTTAAATGTTTTGCGGTCACCTATTTGATTGTCTGAATTATTTTGATAAAAATTTCAAATGAAAAGCCCCCTTTTTGAAGAATTATTTTAACCTCCATTGAAAAGAGACGATTTATTTTAACTGTTACGTTTAAGGAAAAAACTCGCCAACGTTTTGTGAAACACACTTACGATTGATGTAAGTTTAAAAACGTAAGCGTAACGTTGATAATACTTACGGACAACTAACAAACTGTTAGTTAAACGACCCCTCAGTACCTTAATGGAAATATGCACTACTATTCGTAGATATTTCACACATATAAGAGCTATACCATGGGTTATACAATTCAATAGGACATTATATATTGTATAATAATTGACGGACCTCTTTTGTGCCTGTCTAAGTATTAAAATAGTAATGCACTTAAAATGACTCGATAAACCGATTGATGCACTAGCCGGTAAGCCAGGAGCTTCCGCTTGTTGATGAATTTTGGTTTTTAAGCCACTTTTACTTATCCCGGTTACCCGCCGTATTGCCAGTGACAAATGTCAATGTTGAGACACGTATGATTAATTGCTGCACTATGTTACAGGGTTAGAATATGAATTTATTAAATGTAGGGTAAGGGGATTAGTGACTCAACAATCAAAACCAACACAATATAAAACAATAAGAGAAAGCGACATTCACAGAAGGCAACCCTCATGACATTCTGAAGCCACGGCACTCAAATGGGACGCCAAACGGGCGGTTGAAAACAAAAGGGTCGCGATAGGCAACGGAAGCAGCCAATTATAAGCAACGTTAAAGGTCATTGATATATCGTGTGGTCATTTAAAATGCTTTTGCTGATGACGTTTATTGCAGCATTATTGTTAAATTGTAAGTACACGAGTTATGTATAATTGAATTGTCATATTAACATGTATTATTATATTGCCCTCTATATGATTCCATTCGTAACGACTTGATTCGAGAAGCACAAATGCTAAACGATGGTTTTGATGCCCTCTCAGACATTGATAAAGTAGGATATATTCTCTCAAATGCAGACATTGTATTTTTAACTGCCAAAACCTGTTTTAACATATTGAATAGAAGAAAACTAATTTTATACAACTGACATTATTTTAAATAACTTTTATGTATAGGTTAGAGTGCATATTGGGTGTTCTTCGTAAATAAGAATGCTAAAAAGGAGCGGAGCTTGCGAAGCGACTGTAGCTTTCTTATTTACGAAGAACATCCAATATGCACTCTAACCGGCTTAGTGCTCCGCCCACTTGCGTTTTATAATATAAAACGTCCAGTTTATATAAAATCTGTTCTATTAAGATTTGTAACCTGAAAATTTGAAAAATCCTCGTCGGTGATTGGCTTAAAAAAATTGGCGAGCACTAAGTGTTCTTAGATATACATGTACTATCTAGAAAATACTTTTGCTAATAATCTTCTAAACCGGATTTTGATTAAATTTAACCACACCATACATGTAATTTCTATGTAGAATTTTTGGAGGTACTTTGTTACCTCAATATTTTAAATTACATCAGTAGATTCATTTTATCTTGTTCTTCACAACTCTGGTTTAAATTAGCAAGGGTATTTTAGATTTTTAGAATTTTACATGTAAATAGTAAGTCAACCTTTAGTCTCTTGTAAATCTTATAGATTGGCAATGTGCATTTATATTGTATTTTATATGTATTTTAACTGTGTACATTGATGAGACTGTAATAAACTAATAAATAAATATTAACATCAATAAATACGACAGTTTGTACAATTAAGAGAAAGAATAAACTTGTTTAAATTTACCTCAGTATTGAAATATTTATACATAAACATTAAACAAACAGCCAAAAATAAGAAAATTACACGGTAACACGTTAACAATTGATAACTTTACTACCGTATTTTTTACCAGTTTTTTTAGATTCATCAGAGCAAATTATACAATTATATTCTATATATGTCAATATATGTTAAATTAATAATATATCCTTCAAAAAGACACCTAGGCATGGTAAAAAATAGATTAAACGTTGCGTAATTCACGAGTGCTTTTGTTTTGTGTGTGTGCAGAAATAGTAAAAGAAATGGGTTTTTGTTTGCACTTATACGATATTAAACGGGCTCTTCTGGGGACAGAGACTTTTGCTGTAAGTGTAGGTCTTCAGGTTAAACAATTTTATAACATAATAGGAAAGGTATATGGTATTGTTCATAAGGAAATCCTTAAGCAAAATATATAAAAAAAAACTTCGTAATAATACAACAGCTGCTGTATTCGAAGAATGAATAAATATGTATCTAAGACTGACTTTAAACTATTCCCGTGTTAGATGTTAGTTGTTTTTTGTCTTCCTTGATTTCTGGAACCGTTTGCATTGACAAATGTTTTTGTTTTTTTGTTGTTGTTGTTTTTGTTTGTTTTGTTTTTTTGCGTTTAATAGAAAACGCTAACCATACCAGCATCTGTAG